CTAACTGACCTAAGACAGGGAATTTTTACTAGGATTAAATGTCAGGAATTGTGAAAAACTGAGTTTAAATGTATTTGGCTAAGGTGGATGTAAACTTCCGACTTCGACTGTATATAATTCCTGTAAGTTAAGGCATGACACATTGCTCAAGCCCTGTGCTTTTAAAATGGTGTGTTCCTATGGGAATTTGCTCATATTTACAGCGCCACCAGTAGGTAAAAGATCAGACTTTTTTTTGTTGTTTTTATCCTTTTGGAACAGTAATTGGTGACATATTTAATTTCAAACCTACACTTTCAAATATCTTATTTCCCAACATGGCGTCAATGGCATGGCATTGTTCAGATAGATTAGCACACTCTGCCAACAACATTGCGTATAAATACTGGTAATCTGACTTCATTAACCTGTTAACAGGTTAATGAACTCAGATGACCTGTATTTATATGCGCTGATGTTGGCAGAGTGTGCTAATCTATCTAAACAATGCCATGGCTTCAAACCAATCTATCTTTCTCTCTGTCTGTCTCTCTCTGTGTGTGTGTGTGTGTGTGTGTGTGTGTGTGTGTGTGTGTGTGTGAATAAAGTGTCTGCTTCAAATCTCCTCCCAGATTCTGAACTTCTAAAACAGATTGGGAGATGTTCCCGGTGCTTCTCAGTCCATCTGTTGTCTTTGTGTCTGTCTGCACAGGAGAACTCTCTCTCACTCTCTTTCTCTCTCTCTCTCTTTCTCTCTCTCTCTTTCTCTTTCTATCTCTCTAGCTCTCTCTGTGTGTGTGTGTGTGTGTGTGTGTGGAGACATTTTACTCACAAGTAGAGTAAGACATAGCTGTGTGTGTGTGTGGAGGTGTAGTCCAGGTTATCAGCGCTATCTGAGCCCAGTGTTTAGATGCTTGTGGGCTGCAGGCATCAGACACTGGCCCGCATTACACACACTTACACTGCATCTGCTAGTACCATCCTGTACACACACACACTGACTCACACACTCATGCACACACAATACCATCTGATATGTTTTCTCTATTTCCAGCCATTGTCAAGTATAAAGGGAAGCAGTACTCTAGCTCTGCTGAAGTGCTGACTCATCTTTGACTTTCTCCCCCAAATATAACTCACCACAACCTCCCCTCAACCCCTTAACCCACATCACACTGTCACTATATGACAGACAGACAGACAGACAGACAGACAGACAGACAGACAGACAGTGTACTAGTGGATGCCTGTCTCCTCTATCGACTGTCTGTCTGTAAGTATAGGCATCTCATCCTATCCCTGCTCAGCCTAGTCCTTTGCTTCTTTGTGTGTGTGTGTGTGTGTGTGGGCGTGCACACACATGCATGTGAGTTTTTGGAGTGGAGGGGAATGGGGGAAGTCTATGCATTTGTAATGAGAGTAAGGCTAGTGGGCCTGTTCTCATTAACACCTTAGACAGAGACACCACAAGGAGAGAGATAAAATGAGAGAGGGATAGAGAGGGGGATAGAGAATGAGGGAGAGAGAGGCGTAGAGGGGAATCGGGAAGAGGATGACAAGAGGGCTAATGGAGAGATGGGTGGAGAAAGGGTCAAGGGGGGATAGAGAGAGTAATTGTGAGGTGTGTAGGTGATGGAGCAAGCAGTGGAGACAGAGAGAGAGAGAGCGAGAGAGAGAGAGGGGTTTGTTTGGTCTTCCTGTGCTTTGGTGTTGAGAAACTCTGGAATACTCTTGTATTGGACAAAGCTGGCAGCTGTCACTCACTCAAACTGACAGACAGACAGACAGACAGACAGACAAACAGGGTGGAGTGAATGTCCAGAAACAAAATATCATCAACTCAATACACTAATACACACACGCTTTAAAACAGTAATAAAAACGCTCTCGCCATCACACACCCACACACATCCATGCATACACACACATAAACACACACACACACACTAGTGTCCAATTAAGAACTCCAATGGCCTCTCAGCAGATTGTCGTTTAGCAGGGAGCAGTGTGTGTGGGTGCCTAGCACTGGGATTGAACATGTGACTCTTGGAGCCGGAGCTCGTGGCTTATGCACATTCGCCATCCCCTTCCACAACGCCTTAGCAAAACCCAAGCCTACATGATGGTAATAGCACTCATTGTTGCCCCTTGTGGCCTGTTTTGAAGTAATCTCCCGACGTCCTGCTTACCTGGACGGACGGCGAATTTCACGGTGGGTTTTTAGTGACCAAATGAGACCACGCACACACACATACTGACAGTGTATTGCTTTGTTTTACAGAGACAAGAGAGGATCGCACCAAGAGACTGTTCAGACACTACACTGTGGGATCTTACGACAACGTCACCTCATACAGGTAAGACACACACAAATACACATACACACACACAGTTACACACACACAGTTACACACACAAACACTTACACACTTACACACACACACACCACACATGTTTGGACAGTGAAGATAAAAATATATATTTGACCCTCTACTCCAGCATTTTGGATTTGAGAAAGTTGCAGATGCACAAAGATCATGCCCCCAAAACATGCTAACCTCTCACCATTACCAATAACAGGGGAGGTTAGCATTTTTGTGGGGGTATGATATACAGTATATGCCTCTGTAACGAATCAGTCATGATTAGCCATAATCATGATAGCATCCACATTAATGAAGTCGTCAGAAACATATTATATTATTATTTACAATAAAGGTTACTCCAAATGACACAATACATTATTTACCATTGATTTCTATTGGGCACAACATAATCCGAAGTACAACCAAAACAAACTGCAAATACATCCAACCTCATATAAAACATTTGATCTCAAATCCAAAATGCTAGACTATAGAGACAAATTAAACGTTTTTGCTTCACTGCCCTTTCCCACCTGGACAAGAGGAACACCTACGTGAGAATGCTATTCATTGACAACAGCTCAGCGTTCAACACCATAGTGCCCTCAAAGCTCAACACTAAGCTAAGGACCCTGGGACTAAACACCTCCCTCTGCAACTGGATCCTGGACTTCCTGACGGGCCGCCCCCAGGTGGTAAGGGTAGGTAACAACACATCTGCCACGCTGGTCCTCAACACGGGGGCCCCTCAGGAGTGCGTGCTCAGTCCCCTCCTGTACTCCCTGTTCACCCATGACTGCATGGCCAGGCACGACTCCAACACCATCATTAAGTTTGCTGACGACACAACAGTGGTAGGCCTGATCACCGACAACGATGAGACAGCCTATAGGGAGGAGGTCAGAGACCTCTCCCTCAACGTGACCAAGACAAAGGAGATGATTGTGGACTACAGGAAAAAAAGAGGACTGAGCACGCCCCCATTCTCATCGACGGGGCTGTAGTGGAACAGGTTGAGCGCTTCAAGTTCCTTGGTGTCCACATCACCAGAAAACTATCATGGTCCAAACACACCAAGACAGTTGTGAAGAGGGCACGACAAAGCCTATTCCCCCTCAGGAGACTGAACATTTTTGGCATGGGTCCTCAGATCCTCAAACAGTTCTACAGCTGCACCATCGAGAGCATCCTGACTGGTTGCATCACCGCCTGGTATGGCAACTGCGCGGCCTCCGACCGCAAGGCACTACAGAGGGTAGTGCGTACGGCCCAGTACATCACTGGGGCCAAGCTTCCTGCCATCCAGGACCTCTATACCAGGCGGTGTCAGAGGAAGGCCCTAAAAATCCAGCCACCCTAGTCATAGACTGTTCTCTCTGCTACCACACGGCAAGCGGTACCGGAGCACCAAGTCTAGGTCCAAAAGGCTTCTTAACAGTTTCTACCCCCAAGCCATAAGACTCCTGAACAGCTAATCATGGCTACCCGGACTATTTGCAATGCCCCCCCCCCCCCCCACCCCAACCCCCTCTTTTACGCTGCTGCTACTCTGTTTATTATTTATGCATAGTCACTTTAACCCTACCCACATGTACAAATTATCTAAATTACCTCGACTAACCGGTGCCCCCGCACATTGACTCTGTACTGGTACCCCCTGTATATAGCCTCCCTACTGTTATTTTATTTTACTGTTGCTCTTGAATTATTTGCTTTTCTTTTACTTATCTATTTTTGACTTAACACTTTTTTTTCTTCTTAAAAACTGCGCTGTTGGTTAAGGGCTTGTAAGTAAGCATTTCTACACCTGTTGTATTCGGTGCATGTGGCAAATAAAATTTTATTTTATTTGAAATACAAAGGGGAGTGTATAATGAGAGTTATGTGATGCTGTTCCCATCTAGTGGTGAAACAGTGTCAGTGCATTCTGCTTGCATGAGTCCCATGCTCAACCCAGGCCTTATACAAAACTAAGCTCCCATTACCGAAACGTATGTGTGCATGTGTTTGAGTATGTCTCTCCCTCTCTTCCTTGTCTGTCTCTCTCTGAAATGTATTGCATATGACGTCTGTAATAAAGTAGTGTGTGAGTGCAGGCTGAGAGAAAGGACAGTAGAACATGAGCTTCTATAGGACTGTGTTCTGATGTAAATTCACTCTAAATGTCAGAGTCAGCTTGTCAGGAGAGAGGCGCTTTGTATCAGAGCGTTGTTTCCCCAGAGAGAGAGAGAGAGAGAGAGAGAGAGAGAGAGAGAGAGAGAGAGAGAGAGAGAGAGAGAGAGAGATTCTCCACCGCTTTAACAATGGGTACATAGTGAGTCATGAAGAGTATGTGAGAGCTACAGCAGCTGAATAGGAGAGAATGTCAAAGCTCTTGAATGGAAGTCTGTGAATAGAAGTCTTTGGCATGCTACTGTGAATTGCTACTTAGAGGGTTTATGGAACATTATTATATGTAAGACTGTATAATTACATTGTGGAATTTGATTCTGCTACAGGGTATGCTTTTTTGCATATGAATGTATGGAAGATATTTTCAAAATGCCTGAGTTGAGCTGTATCTAAATGGGAGTTAATAGAATTGTGAATGCAACATTAGAGAGATTGAGAACATGGTTGGTTGAATGGAAACATAAAGCAAGGTATTCTGGAGCTATGAAGGTGAAAACGTTTGAGCTGGAGTTGGATATGTAGGGGGGAGGAGAGGAAGGGATGTTGAACTATAGGCATATCTATAAACCGTATAGCTCTCTGTATTTAGCATGTCCTCTAGTTAAATGGTACTGTATATCTGCCCCCTGACACAGGACTATTTCTCACGGGTCTACAGGCCCCGTCAGCAGGGCCTCTATCTGCCATGGGTAAGTGGCTGGGCAGCGGTCATGGCAAACAGCTAACACAAGGCCAAACTCCAGATCTCCCATGCCAGTGTGTGTAGTGTTGGGATGTCTACTAACCAATGAGACTTTTGGGACACTGACACTCTCATTCTTCTGCTTCACTAACTCTATGGGCTATCTGGTGTCAGCCGTGGGATCTGACAGTCAGTCTGTCAGTCTGTCAGTCAGTCAATAGTATATGGGTGTTGCTGAGAATGGGACATGATGCTGCTTTTACTGTGTGTCTATAGAGTGCTGGAATGTCGCTGGGAATACATGTGCTGTTGTTTTTGAGGATTGAATTGTGTGGTTTGAACTTACATAATATTGCACTCACACACACACTAACTCACTCACTCACCCAAATCAACTTGTGACTACTCTCTTATTAGTCGTGAGATAATTTAATATTTCTCCGCAAGCAGACACTCCTCCTCCTCTTCTTCCTCTTTCTCCTCCTCCTGAATGGGAGAGGCAAACTCCTCTGTTCTTATCTCCTATCCCTGGAATCTCAGTCATTAGGAGGGAACACAGAGACGACACTCAGAGACGGTGATGAAAGGCCCACATTATACATACAGTTGAAGTCACTCGTTTTTCAACCACTCCACAAATTTCTGGTTAGCAAACTATAGTTTTGGCAAGTCGGTTGTGCATGACACAAGTAATTTTTCCAACCATTGTTTACAGACAGATTATTTCACTTATAATTCACTGTATCACAAGTCCAGTGTGTCAGACGTTTACATACACCCAGTTGACTGTGCCTTTAAACAGCTTGGAAAATTCCAGAAAATTATGTCATGGCTTTAGAAGCTTCTGATAGGCTAATTGACATCATTTGAGTCAATTGGAGGTGTACCTGTGGATGTATTTCAAGGCCTACCTTCAAACTCAGTGCCTCTTTGCTTGACATCATGGGAAAATCAAAAGAAATCAGCCAAGACCTCAGAAAAACAATTGTAGACCTCCACAAGTCTGGTTCATCCTTGGGAGCAATTTCCAAACGCCTGAAGGTACCACGTTCATCTGTACAAACAAAGTATGCAAGTATAAACACCATGGGACCACGCAGCCGTCATACCGCTCAGGAAGGAGACGTGTTCTGTCTCCTAGAGATGAACGTACTTTGGTGCGAAAAGTGCAAATCAATCCCAGAACAACCGCAAAGGACCTTGTGAAGATGCTAGAGGAAACAGGTACAAAGCATATATATCCACAGTAAAACGAGTGCTATATCAACATAACCTGAAAGGACGCTCAGCAAGGAAGACGCCACTGCTCCAAAACCGCCATAAAAAAGACAGACTACGGTTTGCAACTGCACATGGGGACAAAGATCGTACTTTTTGGAGAAATGTCCTCTGAAGGAACAAAAATATAACTGTTTGGCCATAATGACCATCATTATGTTTGGAGGAAAAAGGGGGTTGCTTGCAAGCCGAAGAACACCATCCCAACCGTGAAGCACAGGGGTGGCAGCATCATGCTGTGGGGGTGCTTTGCTGCAGGAGGGACTGGTGCACTTCACAAAATAGATGGCAACTTTAGGAAGGAAAATTATGTGGATATATTGAAGCAACATCTCAAGACATCAGTCAGGAAGTTAAAGCTTGGTCGCAAATGGGTCTTCCAAATGGACAATTACCCCAAGCATACGTCCAAAGAAGTGGCAAAATGGCTTAAGGACAACAAAGTCAACGTACTGGAGTGGCCATCACAAAGCCCTGACCTCAATCCTATAGAAAAATATGTGGGAAGACCTGAAAAAGTGTGTGCGAGCAAGGAGGCCTACAAACCTGACTCAGTTACATCAGCTCTGTCAGGAGTAATGGGCCAAAATTCACCCAACCTATTGTGGGAAGCTTGTGGAAGGCTACCCAAAACGTTTGACCCAAGTTAAACAATGTAAAGGCAATGCTACCAAATACTAATTGAGTGTATGTAAACTTCTGACCCACTGGGAATGTGATGAAAGAAATAAAAGCTGAAATAAAGCATTCTCTCTACTATTATTCTGACATTTCACATTCTTAAAATAAAGTGGTGATCCTAACTGACCTAAAACAGGGATTTTTTACTAGGATTAAATGTATTTGGCTAAGGTGTATGTAAACTTCTGACTTCAACTGTACTTTTATTGCATTTGCTAGTACTTTCCTGTACATACACACACACCCACACACACACACACACATACAAATACACACACACACAATAAACAGAAAACTTGAGCGTGCATAACTATTTACTGAAACAGGTTTCCCTCAAGAATTTCCCTGTATTTAGCGGCATCCATCATTCCTTCAATTCTGACCAGTTTCCCAGTCCCTGCCGATGAAAAACATCCCCACAGCATGATGCTGCCACCACCATGCTTCACTGTGGGAATGGTGTTCTCGGGGTGATGAGAGGTGTTGGGTTTGCGCCATATATAGCATTTTCCTTGATGGCCAAAAAGCTCAATTTTAGTCTCATTTGACCAGAGTACCTTCTTCCATATGTTTGGGGAGTCTCCCACATGCCTTTTGGCGAACACCAAACGTGTTTGCTTATTTTTTTCTTTAAACAATGGCTTTTCTCTGGCCACGCTTCCGTAAAGCCCAGCTCTGTGGAGTGTACAGCTTAAAGTGGTCCTATGGACAGATACTCCAATCTCCGCTGTGGAGCTTTGCAGCTCCTACAGCGTTATCTTTGGTGTCTTTGTTGCCTCTCTGATTAATGCCCTCCTTGCCTGGTCTGTGAGTTTTGGTGGGCGGCCCTCTCTTGGCAGGTTTGTTGTGGTGCCATATTCTTTCAATTTTTTAATAATGGATTTAATGGTGCTCCGTGGGATGTTCAACATTTCTGATATTTTTTTATAACCCAACCCTGATCTGTACTTCTCCACAACTTTGTCCCTGACCTGTTTGGAGAGCTCCTTGGTCTTCATGGTGCTGCTTGCTTGGTGGTGCCCCTTGCTTAGTTGTGTTGCAGACTCTGGGGCCTTTCAGAACAGGTGTTTATATATACTGAGATCATGTGACAGATCATGTGACACTTAGATTGCACACAGGTGGACTTTATTTAACTAATTATGTGACTTCTGAAGGTAATTGGTTGCACCAGGTCTTATATAGGGGCATCATAGCAAAGGGGGTGAATACATATGCACGCACCACTTTTCTGTTATTAATATTTTAGAAATTTATTTTTTTCATTCCACTTCACCAATTTGGACTATTTTGTGTATGTCCATTACATGAAATCCAAATAAAAATAAATGTCAATTACAGGTTGTAATGCAACATTGTAGGAAAAACGCCAAGGGGGATGAATACTTTTGCAAGGACTGTAGGTACTGTACAGACCCAAGAGAACCCTGAGCTAGGCTTTTAAGTTGATTGGGTCATCAGAGAAGGAGGTTCAGATGTGTTTGTGCGTGTGTGTGTGTTTGTTTGCAAAGCCATTGGGTTCCTCTCTCCCTACATCGCCCCCCACCCCTCTCTCTCTCTCTACTCCCTATCCGTCCCCCTTCTCTCCCCTATCTATCCCTCTCTCTCATTCCCTCTTTCTCTCTCTCATTGTCCCTCACCTCACCTCCCATCCCTGTCCCCCTTTCTCTACCATCCTTGGCTCTCTCTCCCCTCTTCTTCCTTCTCTCTCTGTCTCTTCTCTCAATGAATTTTTTGCTGGACTCTTACCTGCTGTCCCTCTCTTCTCTGCTCTCCAGTGATTACATCATAGAGGAGAAGAATGCTATGTTGCAGAAGAAAGAAAACGAAGGCTTCGGTTTCGTCCTGCGGGGAGCCAAAGGTAGGAAACACACACACACACACAGGTGAATACCTTTGTTCATTATTCAAGTGTTTTAGTGCTTGGCCATAAGACTGGAACAGACAACTTTTCTCTATATACCTCCAGGACCAGCCTGGTGTGTCAAACACATATTTTCACAAAGCTCGACTTTATACCTTATTACTAAAGCAGGCTGTCTTGATCACTGTCACCTCCAAGGCCCTGCTAGCTACTTTCTTCATGTCATAGGCTGTCTGTGTGTGTGTCATTACAGGCCTGTGAGCCCCTCTGCAGGTGTTCTGAGTGTGGGGTATGGGATGTGGTGGGGTTGATGTAAGGAGTTCTAGACCTCTTTCACATAGTATGACTTATTTACCTATGAGTCAACATGACTGGCTTTGGTCAACACCACATTCTCTCTCTCTCTCTCTGTGTGTGTGTGTGTGTGTGTGTGTGTGTGTGTGTGTCTAGCCATTGTGGTGGCGTCATCCTAGAATGAACTGCCAGTTGACTCCCCCATCTGTTCCTCACACATTGTGTTCAGGGAGACAGAAATGACTATTTTTCTCCAATCTTTATATTTCCTCCCTTATTTTTTCTCATTCATTGACTCCTTCACTGTGTTTCTTTTGTTCTATTCCACTCTTGTCTTTCTTTGATTCATTCTTTCACCCCTTCCCTCCCTCTTCTTTATTCCTCACTCAGCTTTACTATTAGTCCTTATCCTCTACTACTTCACACACACACACACAACTGCACGTGCCTGCTCTCCATGCTGGTTACTATAGCAACCCCTCGCGGCCACCAAACCCAGGATTCTGAGTGTTTTTGCTGCTCCTCCATCTCTATATTTCTATTTTCCTCAATTAGCAGACACTCTTATCCCGAGTGACTTATAGGAGAATTTAGGGTTAAGTGCCTTGCTCAAGCGCACATCGACTGATATTTCACCTAATCGGCTCAGGGTTTCGAACCAGCGACCTTTCAGTTACTGTCCGAACACTCTTAACAGCTATGCTACCTGCCTCTCTCCCCCGCTCTGTCTCTCCAGCTCTTTCTTACTCCTCTTTTTTTTCCCCTCGCTCTCTTCCTCTCCCTACCTTAAACACTCTCTCTACCTTAAACACTCTCTCTAAACGCTAAAGCTATGAAGGCTAGAGAGAGAGGGAAAGACTAGTCTGTAGCTTTCCTCCTGATCAACAAACAGTTGACATGGAGTCTAATGTAGAGCCAATAGCTTTCTTTTCAATATTTCAATTTCTCTAACTTTTTCTCCTCCTTTTCCAATTTCCATCAGTCAACTTTCCCCCACTCTAGATGTATCCCTCCCTCTCTCCTCTCTTCTACTTGTGTTCTTCTCTCTCTCCCTCCATCTTCCCAAGTGCCTCAGATAAAACTGAATTGATTATCTTTCATAGTGGGGTCATGTCCCACATGTATGCACGCACACACACACGCACACACACACACACTGCAGTTGCCTCTGGGAACTCTCCTTTGTAAGTGGTATAGTTGGACTCAATTGGATTAAATGGAGGGTGTGTGTAGTGAACAGTAGCTCTATCCTCAGGCAGAGACACACTCAGCTAACAAGTCAGGTGTGTGTGTGTGTGTGTGTGCCTGATCTGATTTTCAGTGTGAGAGTGATTAAAGTAATACGGTTGAGTGAAAGGGTCTCTCCCTGTCACACCACCTCATCGTTCCTAATGCACTATAGAGTCCATCTCACACTATTATAAACACACACACACACACACATTCACTTACAGGCTGCTGTGTGTATCTACATCTATGTGTACCTCTACGAGTTTATGGTGTGTGCTCTTTTCCATGGCAGATGTGCGTGGGTGATACTTTAGATGTATCTCTCACCATTCAGTGTACCTTGCAGAAGATTCCAAGATTAATACTGTGTGTATTTCTTGTGTTGAAACATCTGTCCATGTTTGGATATAAATCAAGTAATTCTCTCTGTGTGTTCCCAGCTGAGACGCCTATTGAGGAGTTCACCCCAACACCAGCGTTTCCTGCCCTCCAGTACCTGGAGTCTGTCGATGTGGAGGGAGTGGCCTGGAGGGCAGGGCTTAGGACAGGAGACTTCCTCATAGAGGTAACCACACCCCCTCTCCTCTTCTCCGATCTCCTCTCCAACCCCATGGACTAGCACCCACTGCCTCTCAGCTCTCTGTTTGACCTCCAGCCATATGTGTGTGCGCGCGTGCGTGGCATTCGTGCGTGTTTGTGTTCCAGGTGCACGGAGTGAACGTGGTGAAGGTGGGCCATAAGCAGGTGGTGTCTCTGATCAGACAGGGGGGCAACAGCCTGCTGATGAAGGTGGTCTCTGTCACACGCAAACCTGAGTCTGAGGAGGTGGTCCGCAAGAAAGGTGAGCAGAATGTCCCTCATCAAGTTACTACGAGTCATGTATTGAGTATATACACTCCTGTGATTGTATCATGTATATATGGGCCCGTATCCACAAAGCGTCTCGGAGCAGGAGTGGTGACCTAGGATCAGTTTAGCCTTTTAGATCATAATGAATAAGATTATATGGACAGATCCTAGATCAGCACTCCTACTCTGAGATGCTTTGTGTTGATACTCGCCCTGGTGTGCTGGAGTGGACAGGGTGAAAAATCGGACTTCCACTACTGCCTGTCCCTCATTGCAGATGTAATCTCCTCCTCCTCCAGTCCGGTGTCACATTATTAGCTGGTCCATGCATTTGATCTCTGGCATATAGCCATTAGGTTCTTCAATATCAGGTTCTTTATTAGTATATTGTCATGGATATGGCAGTTGGCACTAGATGACCTGATATATTTGAGAAGGATCTGTATGTTTCTGTCATCAAGGTGATTTCACCATGTTGCCACACTGTAAATTCATGTGGTTTCCATGTCAACGGCATCTCATCATCCCTGTGCTAAACAGCTCCCACTCTCTCCTGCTACTAAGACCTCGGGAAAGTGTGTGTGTGTGTGTGCGTGCGTGTGTGTGTGTCTCCGGTGAGAGAGACAGACAGATACACATGTAAGATCTTAATTTTATCACCATGTTGCAGGAGAACTTGTAGTGTATTTTAGGTTTTAGTTGGTTTACTATTCTTGTGAGGACTTTTGGTACTCACAAGTATAGTAAAACGTGTCCGCACACACACACACACACACAGAGAGAGGGAGGAAAGATATAACAGCGTGGATATGGAGGTCTCCGAGTAGTCAGTCTGTGATTGGAACTGAACATGACAGACGTGCGTTGTTGCTGGGATTGAAGTTGTGTGAATCCTCCCAAAAAATAAGCACAATTTGCATATCCAGGATGTTGTATATTACCAAGAGGTTTTACTTTTTGACAAGAAAAATTATATATGTCTTCTTTGAGTAATGCTTTGACAGTGGTTAAAGACAGTGGCAACAGTATTAAACTTGATTACACTGAGATGACAGTGTATTTATTCACCTAATTTGAAGAAATTAGTTTGTTCTGAAGATCTACCCCTTGGCCATGATGAAGTCCCCACTTCCTCTAATATCACGAGAGGACTCAGGTCAGGAGTGTACAGTGTGTGTTTGGGGCAGTAGAGAGTATGAGAGGGGGTGATAGACCAGGCAGGGCAGAGACAGAGACGGATTAGAGAGGTGTGCTGAACACAGAACAAGGGAGAGCTCGGCTTGTTGTTTTGAAAGTCTCTGAAAAAGTGTTCTATTGAAAAAGTTTGGATACTAGTGACCTTTTGAATTTGGATCCCGCGACCTGGTTAGCCTCAGTTGCTGGGACCGCTATATCTGTCATGGGATCCTGCCAACCAAAAGTCTGAAGAGTTGCTTGGCGTAGCAGCTAGCATAGCTGACTAGCTATCAAGCTAGCAACGTTTCCTTGACAGCTTGAACACAGCCCGCAACGCGGATAGCGCTTGTGGCTGGGCTGGGACCGCGGATTGTCCCGGGCCTGTGACTTTCTAAATCCCTGCTGTTTGTTGCTGTTTCCATCTGCCCTGTGACCTGCCCTGTCTGGAACTGTGTGGGGCACCAATGCTAGTCTATGTTGCTACCATGAAATCCAAAGCCATAGGTGGGAGTAATGGAGAGGACAGTTTCTCTATCACAGATGAAGGATCTTTTAAACGAACAATAATGGTTCTACAAGCAGTTGTTACAACAACAGGAAAATAGCTTCAAGAGCTTTGTTCAAATACTGATGGACTCAACTAACAAAATAATGGACGATCTGACCAGAGAGGTCCAGGACCTTAAGAACAGTTTTCAGTTGTCCCAGTGAGAGGTGGATGTCCTGAAAGAGACTTGCAGAAAGATGACCACAAACTGTAAGTCTACGCAAGATGACATCAGCACTGTCTGTGAATCATTATTAACAATGACTGGGAAAACAAACTATCTAAAGGGATAATCCAGGAGGAATAATATCGTTGTGGATGGCATACCAGTCTTCACATGAGAACTGGGCAGAGTCTGAGGAGAAAATAAAAACAATGATCACTGAAAAGCTGCAGATGGATCATAAGAAGATTGAGGTGAAGCACTCCCACAGGTCTGGAAAACCTGTAACCAGCCCAGGTGATAGACCGAGGCCGATAGTGGTCAAGTTCCTGTGGTTTAAGGACAAGATGGCTATTCTGGAGAGAGCCAAGAACTTCAGAGGAACCAACATCTTCCTTAACGAAGACTACTTGGAAGCTGTGCGGGGGGGAAATAACTTATCCCAGCCATGAAAGCTGCCAGAGAGGGGACATTGATTAAATCCGCTACGACAGTTTCATTGTCCACCCTCCCTCCCAAAAGACTGGGTGTAGTGAGAGAGCCAAGCTTCCGGGTTAGGAGCTTCAGCCCCACATCTCACATACACCAACTGACACTAACAAGTGCCTGATTGACTGACTCTATTGGCCAAACCATGTTCTTGTCATGCTTTGTGTGTTTTCTTTCTTCATTTTACTTCTATCTCTGATAAGCTATTCAGGAAAGGACTGAAAATAGCCCATATTAATATATGTAGCCTTAGAAATAAGATTCATGAAATCAATATCTTGCTAACATCGGATAACATTCATATATTGTTCAGCTTTGAAACTCACTTAGATAATTCCTTTGATAATACAGCAGTAGCAATACAAGGATATAACATCTACAGAATAGACAAATGCTAATGGGGGAGGTGTTGCTGTATATGTTCAGAGTCATATTCCTTTAAAGCTTAGAGATGACTTCATCTCTAATGTTGTTGAAGTGTTGTGGTTGCAAGTTAACCTGCCTCATCTAAAGCCTCTTCTTTTGGAGTGTTGCTATAGGTCACCAAGTGCTAACAGTCAGTATCAAATCAAATTGTATTTGTCACATGCGCCGAATACAACAGGTGTAGACTTCACTGTGAAAAGCTTACTTACGATCCCTTTCCCAACAATGCAGAGTGTAAAAGTAAGACACATTTGCAAAAATGTTAAAAGGAAATAATAACACAATAAAACAACAATAACGAGACTATATACAAGGAGTACTGGTACCGAGTCACTGTGCAGGGGTACGAGGTAGTTGAGATAATATATACATGTTAGTAGGGGTAAAAGTGACTAGGCAATCAGGATAGATTGCCTTACCTCCATAACTTGCTACATTTGCACACACTGTATATATATTTTTTTTTTCTGTTGTATTTTTGACTTTGTTTTGTTTTACCCCATATGTAACTCTGTGTTGTTGTTTTTATCGCACTGCTTTGCTTTATCTTGGCCAGGTCGCAGTTGTAAATGAGAACTTGTTCTCAACTGGCTTACCTGGTTAAATAAAGGTAAAATTAAATTAAATAGATAATAAACAGAGTAGCAGCAGCGTCCAGTGCATTCGGAAAGTATTCAGACCACTTCAATTTTTCAACATTTTGTTACGTTACAGCCTTATTCTAAATTGGATCAAATAAAAAATAATCCTCCTCAATCTACACACAATACCCCATCATGACAAAGTGAAAATAGGTTTTTAGAAATGTTTCAAACTGTATATATATTTAAAAAAAACATAAATACCTTATTTACATAAGTATTCAGACCCTTTGCTATGAGACTCGAAATTGAGCTCAGGTGCATCCTGTTTCCATTGATCGTCCTTGAGATGTTTTGATTGGAGTCCACCTGTGGTAAATTCAATTGATGGGACATGATTTGGAAAGGCTCACACCTGTCTTTATAAGGTCCCACAGTTGACAGTGCATGTCAGAGCAAAAAACCAAGAAGCCATGAGGTCGAAGGAATTGTCCGTAGAGCTCAGGGACAGGATTGTGTCAAGGCAAAGATCTGGGGAAGGGTGAAAAAAAAGGTCTGCAGCATTGAAGGTCCCCAACAACACAGTGGTCTCCATCATTCTTCAATGGAAGAAGTTTGGAACCACCAAGACTCTTCCTAGAGCTGACCGCCCGGCCAAACTGAGCATTCGGGGGAGAAGGGCCTTGGTCAGGGAGGTGACCAAGAACCCGATGGCCACAGAGCTCCAGAGTTCCTCTGTGGAGATGATAGAACCTTACAGAAGGACAACCATCTCTGCAGCACTCCACCAATCAGGCCTTTATGGTAGAGTGGCCAGATGGAAGCCACTTCTCAGTAAAAGGCACATGACAGCCCACTTGGAATTTGCCAAAAGTCACCTAAAGACTCTCAGACCATTAGAAACAAGATTCTCTGGTCTGATGATGACACCAAGATTGAACTCTTTGGCTTGAATGCAAAGCGTCACGTCTGGAGAAAACCTGGCACCATCCCTACGGTGAAGCATGGTGGTGGCCGCATCATGCTGTGGGGATGTTTTTCTGCGGCAGGGACTGGGAGATAAGTCAGGATCGAGGGAAAGATTAACGGAGAAAAGTACAGAGCGATCCTTGATGAAAACCTGCTCCAAAGCGCTCAGGACCTCAGGCTGGGGTGAAGGTTCACCTTCCAACAGGACAACGACCCTAAGCACACAGCCAAGACAATGTAGGAGTGGCTTCGGGACAAGTCTCTGAATGTCCTTGAGTGGCCCAGCCAGAGCCCGGACTTCAACCCTTTCGAACATCTCTGGAGAGACCTGAAAATAGCTGTGCAGCAAAGCTCCACATCCAACCTGACAGCGCTTGAGAGGATCTACAGAGAAGAGTGGGAGAAACTCCCCAAATACAGGTGTGCCAAGCTTGTAGTGTCATACCCAAGAAGACTTGAGGCTGTAATCGCTGCCAAAGGTGCTTCAACAAAGTAAAGGGTCTGAATACTAATGTAAATGTAATATTTCCGTTTTTTATTCGTAATAAATGTGCAAAAATGTTTTTTTTAAACTGGTTTTGCTTTGTCATTATGGGGTATTGTGTGTAAATTGATGAGAAAATAAAACAATTTAATCAAT